TAATTGTTCACAGCCACACTTACTTGAAGGGATTGCAAAAGTGATTTAAACCTAACTGGGAACAAAGTTTTTGAAAGAAATTGACAGATTAAAAAAGTGGGAAAAAACGGGTCTGGAAACAAGAGAAAATTTTTGCATTTATGCAAGTGAAATGCACTTTAAGCAATGCCCATCATGTCTTTGTGTGCATTCTTACATGATTATTTGTGTCTTCTCAAATAATTCAACTCCTAAACTGTAAAGAAGCTGGCGTGTTAGAAACTTTTTCCTAGAAGTGGAATATTAGAAAGCTGAGTTATAAGTGACTACAGATGCGGAGTTGATTCAGATCTCTTCCTGTGTCCTATCCCCAGTTCCAAATCCAAACTAAATTTTCAGAACCAGGATCAAGGAGATTTGTTTTCATGCGTTTTATGCAGCTACACAGTGCGAAAACGTATATTGTCGAGGGGTTGTCTGTGTATGTATGTATGTATGTGTGTATGTGTCTGTGTGTCTGTGTGTTCGTCTGTAACGAGTTTTCTTCTCGAGATCCATACAAGCACAAGGCTGAAAATTTAGTGGCTTAATTTACACATACGTGCGGACTCGTATCCTCAAAACGGGAGCTCAGGTCCGCGTGGTTCTCACGTAGGGGCACGTGAAAGTTTTTTGGCGGGGAAGCGTTTTCGGGGACGGCCCATGCTAGGGGCTGGAACTTCACAGAGTTGTTCCTTGGCCGCGTCTAATCCAAAGATTTCAAATTCAGCCTTCATGTGCCCTCAGGACTCACGTACGCACACGTCAAAGTTCAAACTGGCACCATGCCAACTCCAGACTGAAGGTGATCAATAAGCTGCAAAGAGCTGCAATTCTGCAGCGTTACTTGTCGTCCACTGTTGTGTCCGTGGAACTAAATTGCTTGTCAGCTCTTCTGCATCTCACGTACGAGCACGTGAAAGTTTCACGCATGCGCTTTTGTAACTGTAGAATTGAACCAGCCAGAAGCCCTGAACTTTATGAGCATAACCGATGGTGGCCTTTGACCGGATGCACGCAAAAACAACTTATACATCAACTTCACGTCTCACGTACGTTTCACGTGTACACATGTGAAATTTGACGTAACTCTGCAACCTGAGCAGCTGGAGTGGTGAAACTTTCTGAGCGTTACCCAGGACCATCTTTGAGCAATTGCGGGGGAAGAGAGCATTCACGTTGCCACTCACGTACGAATACGTGAAATTAGGCGCAACTCTGCAACCAGAGCAGCTTGAGTAATGAAACTTTTGGAGCACTACTTAGGGCCGTGTTTAAGTAACCGCAAGCGAAAAAAGCACTCAAGTTGCTACTCACGTACGAACATGTGGAATTTGGCGTAACTCCGCAATCGAAGCATCCAGAGCGCTGAATTTTTTGGGCATGGATTGGGAGTCATTGTAACAATTTCCAACAGTCATGGTGGTCAGTCACGATTCTTTTAGCTAGGAGCATTCGCTGGGAAGGGCGTGCCACTGGCGAAAAAAACCAGCTGGGGAACTGTGCAAAAAACGCATCCTCTTACCAGCAGCCGGTACGCTTTCGACTAATTTGTAGTTCGGAGGCAACATAGCCCACAGTCAGTTACCAATCCTTATCGTGACTTGACTTATGATCCCAGCTCCGATTTCACATAAAAATTCGTTATTCATGAGTCAGAAAAGCTTGAAATTGAACTCATTAGACAGCGCAAGGCAAAAATATGAGAAAAAAAGTGCAAAGTTCAGGAAGCGTCGCTTAGAAGAGTTGTACGAGCAGCGTCGTTACGTCGTGTACATTTGTTTGCTTCTAACGATTGTTCCGCTGGCAACGTGCGTTGGAATTCAAATCCTT